CATCTCATATGTGAAGCTAAACGTCTGTTTGTCTGTTTGTCTGTACGTATGTTCCGAATAGAAAATTCCATTTCTGGACCGATCCGGACCAAACTTGGCACACATACACTTCGGGCCCCGGCGGGTGTCATAGGCTACTTTTCGTCATCGATCGATATCGATTTTATCGATTTTTATCGATTTTTTTGCAGAGTTCACCTACGGGGCTGGGAGTTGGCACAGGGAGAGGGTAAGTGAGCATGGGGATTTCAAATACCATACTAGTTTTCAGAATTATCTATTATCATTTTGGTTGAATTCAGTGTGCTGATAACAGTATTACCACTGATCTGTCGCTGATGACACATAAACAGTATACTACAGGAGTATGGTAGAGAGCCACTCTGATCGAATTTGTTCTAAGATCTGCTCAAGAACACAATACCGCTCACAGAATGTCAAAATTTCCGTGAACTTCGCGGAATTCTGGGATTTCCGCCAGAGTGCGCGATAATCCGGGAAGTTCGCGACATTTCAGGATCCGCGAAACCATGCGAATCACGCAGAGTACGCAACGCCATAACTTCCTTCGGAATGAATATATTCCGAATCCAGAAGCAGCATTGTGTTCAGACCGTCGAGGCAAATATTTTGATATACAGCATGCTCTAGATATTCCATTTCCAGTTTTTTCGAATTTTTCTGTGGAGGTCCTTTCGCAAGAATGTAACGCAGCGTCTGTGTAACATAAAAGATTTCAGTAAGCACTGTTCGATAGTACTGTCCTTGTAGGTTATCGTGTGTTCGAGAGTAGCTGCAGACTGTCTTCCAAAAGAGATAGAAGCATTGGTGAATTTTGGAAAAATCACGCGTTTCTAAATTCTACTCGCCATAACTTTCTTCGAAATGAATATATTTTTGATCCGAAGAAAGCTTCGTGCTCAGTTTATTAAGGCAAGTCTTTTAGTATACAGCATGTCCTTGATATTCCGATTTCAGTAATCTCAAATTTTTCTGTCGACGTCTTTTCGCAAAGGTGTAGAGCAGCGCGCATTGCTCCTAATAGACTCCATCAAGGACCGTTTGATAGTACTTATTCTGTAGATTATGGAGCGCTAAAAAGCAGTCAGAAGCGTCTTTCCAATGGAGATAGAAGGGCTAATTAACTGTAAAAAAAATCTTGTCGTTCCAAATTCTACTCGTCGTAACCCTAGAATGCAAAGCAATGTTGCTAAGCAGATGTGAGTTTTGTAATCAGCAGTTCGGATAATCCTTATGAGCAAGTTTTCAGGAACTTCGGTCATTTGGTTTTTCTCGTTTCACACTCTGGAATCTCGTCGATGGATTTTGGTCAAAATGTTGATGCTCGTGAATTGTAAGGAAACTTCGCTTATAGAGGTCTTCGAACACGCTCTTTACGAAATCGTGATCCTTGAGGATTTTGGAGAGATGCGGTGAGGTGATTGTAACTGCACCACGATAGTGCATACTTTTTCCGCACTTCTCGCATAACTATCAATAAACTTGCCTGCTTGCTTTTTTAAGTCAAAGTTACTAGGAACTGTGCTATCGAATGGTGCATGACTCAGGCTCCATTCTACGAAATTCGCCGAGTTACGAGCCTATGACACGTTTTCATGAATTTTGCCCAAAATGTAAAGATGGCGTACTTCGTCGAAATTCCACCCTGAGTGGTTGTATGACATTCTGATTGCAAATACTATGTTCATTCCGCAATGTATTGAATACGGTGGTTGCGTTTCTTCAGCTGCTTAATTGAATATCAAAGCAGCTTCGTAGCTAGGGCTCAGATCTATCTAATTAACAAATCCAACACAGTGAGATCCATTAAACGATGTGAACAGATTTGATCAGTATGTTATACAACCAGTCACGGTGGAATTCGACGAAGTATGCGATCTTTACCTTCTGGGCAGAATTCATGAGGACGTGTTTTGGGCTCGTAACTCGGCGATTTTCATAGACTGGAGCCTGAGACAAGCACCGTTCAATAGCACGGTTCATAGTAACTTTAACCTAAAGAGCAAACAGTCAAATTTTGTGAAAAATACGCGAGAAGTGCAGGCGAATTTACGAATTTTCGCGACTCAGTTACAGTCACGTCACCATATCTCTGCAAAAAGATCCTTTGTTCCCCAAAGACCATGATTTTGGTAAACAGCGTGTTTGAAAACCTCTATAAGCGAAGATTCCTTACAATCGAAGATCATCAACACTTTGACCAAAATCCACCGGCGGGCGAGCTTTCAAGCGTAAAACGAGAAAAAATGAAATAAGCCGAACATTTTGAAAACTTGCTCATAGAGGTTATCCGATCTGCCGATTACGAAAATCGCATCCGCTCAGAAAGAGAGCTTCATATTTTAGGGTATGAAGGGTGAGTCAAGTTCAGAACGACATGATTTTTCCAGAATTCATCAGCCCTTTTAGTTTCTTCGAAAAAAAAAAACCTGCGGCTACTCTTTGGCGCTCCATAATCTGCAAAAGAAGTACTATCGAAATTTCCTTGCTTGAATCTACTAGGGGCAATGCGCGCTGCTTTACACCTTTGCGAAAAGCCGTCCGCAGAAAGACTGCAGAGCACTGAAATTGAATTTTTAAGGGCATGCTGTATATGGAAAGATTCGTCTTGTAAAGCTGAGCACAATGCTTCTTTTCTCAGAATATGTTTGTTCCAAAGGAAGTTATGAGCGAGTAGAATTTGGAAACGCGTGATTTTTCCAGAATTTACCAGCGCTTTTATCTTTTTTGGAAAGAAATCTGCGGCTACTCTTTAGCGCTCTTGATCTACAGAAGGAGTACTATTGAATACTACATATAGGCAATTTTTACGTTGGATAAATGCTGTGTTACACCCTTGCGAAAGAATTCAGAAGATGAGAAAACTGGAAATGGAATATCTAGAGCATACTGTATATCAAAATATTTGCCTTGAGAGCTGAACACAATGCTGCTTCCGGATTCAGAATATACTCACTCCCAAGGAAGTTATGGCGCTGCGTATTTTATGTGATTCGCGTTGATTTCGCGGAATTCCGGAAAGACAGTCGAAATCTGGCAGAGCCGCGGAGGACCCAATGACCAATGAGAGCGGGGCGAGGGGGCGGTCCCTTCTTGTAGGTCACGGTGACGTCACAAGCAGGCGAATGGGACCCTTCTCCGGGACCCGCAAATCTCTGCTCCGGAGGTACGCCAGATTTGGGAGAGCCGCGGCGCAGAGATTTGCCCGCCGCGAGTGCGCCAGATTTGGGACACCTCCGGAGCAGGAAATGGCAGGGCCCCGGAGCACAATTGGGAGGTCTCCGGAGCACAAATAGGAGGGCCCCGGAGCAGGAAATGGGAGGTCTCCGGAGCACAATAGGTACGCAAGCAATTTGCTGTGATACGCAGCTTAGCATTTTTGAAAATAAGTTGCCGTCGCTCTCGACTTACTCTTTTTTTGTCGTTTCGCGCTCGTTTTTCTTTTTTTTTGGTTTTTCGTGTTACTCATTGGCGCGTTGGCGTTTATTTGTTCATCTCCTTCTTTTCAGGTTTCAGGTTTTAGGTTTTCGTGCGGATGCACTTAGTCACTTTTAGTGCTTGGCTCTCGTTTTCGACTTACTGTTGTTTTTCCGCGTTTACACAGCAAGTGTGGTGACATAAAACTTGTGTAAAAGAGGACTTATAGTTTACTTGTGCAACCTTCTCCATTTTATCTAATATTACTTCCTATGCATTTTTAGGCAAGATGTTATATTTCAGTCTTTCTACGTCTGTCGTCCCCACACCCATCCCTATCGCACCCGTCCTCTCTCTCTAAATATCTGGGCTACAACCTTCTCACTACTATTGCTGTCGTCTTCTACGTCCTGATGATAGTGTTTTGCTGCATACCGTGCAGCTTAAGTAGTGCCATCAAATTTACAAGGGTAAATGGCTAGAATTTACCGTTTTCACAAGCAATGTTTTTCTTTTTATAGTTATTTGATCCATACATCGCCGGCTCACCGCTGGATGCAGAATTCGTCTTGCATTTTTACAAGTACCCTAATTTCACGCGTACAAGGCGCACCCTTTTCGCTTTATTCGCGCACAGACCAAAGCATGTCGCGCGGTTGATGCGCGACGGTTGCCACACTTGAGCATGATAGTTGGCCGCTAGTCGCTCGACTGTGAAATATCCGCACATCATGCTCCTGCGCGTCCCCACTTCTTTCCTTGTTTGAAATTTGATCAGCTCGGAGTTTTACTACTGCGTTCTCACTTCGAAATGCTGAATATCACGACAATGGAACGTAACAACAACAAACGTAATGTAACAAAAAGTCAAAGCGAAGAGATCGGAGCCAACTTGACAAACGGATGACAAATGGCAAAATGAAAGTTTTGACAAACGGACGACAAATGGCAAAATGAAAGGTTTTGTAGGATGATGAATTTATAAAAAGCGTTGAAACGATCACATGGATTCCGCATCGCTCAGGTGATCTCCTACTCTGCCATCAAGTACATTCTCTCCTCCTTCGTCCACAAGTTCGCTTCCTCCTCCTTCGTCCTCGAGCTCACTTACTCCTCCTTCGTCCTCGAGCTCACTTACTCCTAGTTCGTGATCAAGTTCGCCTTCTCCTACTTCGTCATCATGTTCGCTTTCTCCAAAGGCTCGTCTGAAGCCATTTTGAACGCATTGGACACTAATTTTTTGAATACTTGCCAGTACCCAAGAGCACACTTCTGCGTATATGTCTCATGTGTCCTTGTTTAGTGTATGTATGCCTGCTCTCATCGATCATCCACTCCTCCATTTCTTTCTGAGCTTGCTTTTGAAGGATTTGTTTACAGATATATCTAGCGGCTGGAGATTTTTTGTTAGCCCTCCTGGTATCACGGCGATCTTCGTTCTTTTTCGTAAAGCTTCTTTGGCTTTCGAAGTCAAATGGCATCGAGCCGAATCAAGAATGAGTACGGCTTGCTCTGGGGAAGTTGCAGGATCTTTCCGCGCCATCCAACATGTTTCAATCCAATCAGTCAAGGACCTCAATCATCCATCCCCGACAGTTCGCTTTTACGACAACTCCTGAAATTCATATCAGAAGAAAAAGTGGATTTTGAGACCTACATGCAGCGCTAACCGGGTGGCGTATCCTTGGGGATTGTCTTCCTCTTGAATATTACCATTGGTGGACAGAAGTTGCCATCAGCAGTCACACCAAGGACAACCGTAAAGTTGGTTTTTTCTCCTCCTAAACTAACAGATTAGGAATGTAAGAACTGGCTAAATCTTACCTGTTGTCGTTATAGTGATGTCTTGTGCTCCTTTTTTGTTCACTGTATACTTCCTAGGCATGTCAAAAGTGACTGGAACCTCGTCCACGTTCCCGATGTCCTTGAGAAGAATTGTGGCAGTCTCAGCTTTCAAATAAGTGCGATACCTATTCATGAGATCTATTGCTTTTTCGGGAGGATGCTGGCCTATTGATGTGGTGGCTCTTACCGATAATCCTGCGCGTTGCATAAATCTGTTACACCATCCGCTGCCAGCTTTAAAGTTCATGATATCCATAGCTGCGGCCATGCGTTTTGCTTCCAAACGGATTTGAATAGTCGATACCTTGCGCTTCTCTTTACGCTGTCCAATCACCCATTTTCTGGAGATTCTTCAAGAGGCCACTTTGGCTGAGCAGAGCGCAACGCGCGTTTGCAACCATCGGTTGCTCGTAGCGCATCTATGTTTGCCTTCCATTTCCTCACTTGGGATTCATTCACTCCATATAATTTCGCAGCATTTCGATTCCCATTCTTTCTGCCAGTATGTGTTTTGACCTCCTCCGAGTATGCGACAACCTTCGTTTTGAAAGATGCTGTGTAGCTTCTTCTTTTTAGCTACATCACAACTGGACTTCTCTCACACGCGAATTAAGAGCTGTAATATTTTCTAACTCTCGCTGTCCTTGAATTTCGCGCCAATACGATAGCACGCTGGAAAAGCGGCGCACCTGTTTATGGTTTTCGTGCAGGACTCCGCCAACTTAGAGCTAAAATCGTATGAAGCATCTATTCAGCTTCTGTAGAGGAGAAGTTTGACACGCTCATGGCATCGTTTTTCGACTATAGCACTACCACGAAAACCTGACATTCATGAACTCAAAACTCAGGATAGTTTGAAGTTAAACCTTTACGTACTCTGACATTTCATTTCAATCAGTAAGGAAACATAGCGCTTCAATCTGTCGCCATCATCTCATTCAACAATGTAATGCCGCATATACTGTTTTCTTAGCTATTCGTTGAAGTAATGTAACCATAGACCGCTCTAAAGTGAAAGCACTTTAGTTTGCTAGAACTATCCGTTGTAAGAGTGGTTGGAAACGTACTTATCTGGATAAAAAACTTTAGGCTTCGCTTTCTTGTGAGATAGAGAACATTTTTGATGTTCTCGGCCTTTTTAGTTGAGATTTGCAACCTATAAAACGTATGGAAAGTGCACAAATGATAGTATCTCTGCAAAGCAAATTAACGGAATATCGCAAATTGGTAACGCAAAGTCTGCATTTGATCGCTTGCCCGAACATCGCAATGCATTTCTTCATTTGAACTATGTGACTCATACACGGAAATGAAACCGAGAGGGGAAAAGACTGTCTTCCAACATTTATTATCAGACCGCTATCTTGTACCATGAGTGGCCTGTGATCTTGGAAAATGACTTTGCGAGAAAAGGTTTTACGGATCACACTGTTCTTGAATGAGAAAAACTACTGAATCCAGCACAATAATTTCGTCTGACTTAAAGTGGGTAAGGATGTAAAGTATTGTATTTTTTGATAAGATTAATGAGTTCCAAAAGAGAAAGCTAGTCGGAAAGCGCATAAGCGCTCGAAGTCCAACATCAAAACACCTCGCACATGTTCACGCAGAGATGGCACGCTTATGGAGACTTCGTAGCAACACATCATAATTTTACTCCATCAAAACACTACCTACAGAAGACCACCAATGAAATGGCTCAGTGGAAAAATTGGCAATGAAATACGCAGATCTCACAAATAAGTCGTAAGCAATGTAACAGATGAAAAGTAAACAATTTCAAGCTGCTTACCTGATCTTTGTACGAACAAAGCATAGAAATGAATTGCTTTTGGGGATTGTCTTTGATTTCGATTTCGTCTTTCGTCCGTGTCGCATTCCAGGGCTTCCATTGCCGTGGCCAATTCATGCCAAGTGTCGTTATGCTGCACCTAGCTATCTGCAAAACAATTGGTTTTGATAAACACGGCGAGTTAAGCACTAACAACATGATAACTCACCATAAAGTGCAGCTTGTAGAAGTAAAAACGCAGTAGTAAAACTCCAAGCTGATCAAATTTCAAATAAGGAAAGAAGTGGGGACGCGCAGGAGCATGATGTGCGGATATTTCACAATCGAGCGACTAGCGGCCAACTATCATGCTCAAGTGTGGCAACCGTCGCGCATCAACCGCGCGACATGCTTTGGTCTGTGCGCGAATAAAGCGAAAAGGGTGCGCCTTGTACGCGTGAAATTAGGGTAATTGCCTTGTTTCTGAAGATGAGAACCTTTCTTTAAGCGCGGTACTTATTTTTCCTTATGCTATTTCTTATTGGCCTCGTTGAATTAAGTGCCGTAATGTTCACTGCGCAGCAGAGTGGTAATCTTCTTTTGAGGCACTATCTTGTGGTTGCTCTGCAAGAATTACTGTAATGATACTGTAGGTTATGAATTTTATCTTATATATAAAGCTGAATGTCTGTTTGTATGTATGTATGTATGTCTGTCTGTATGTATGTATGTGTGTACGTATGTTCCGAATAGAAAATTCCATTTCTGAACCGATCCGGACCAAACTTGGCACACATACACTGCGGGCCCCGGCGGGTGTCATAGGCTACTTTTCGTCATCGATCGATATCGATTTTATCGATTTTTATCGATTTTTTTTGCTGAGTTCACCTACGGGGCTGGGAGTTGGCACAGGGGGGTAATCGAGCATGGGGATTCCGAATACAATATTGGTTTTCAGGATTATCGATTACTTTTATCGATTTTATCGATTTTTTTGCAAAGTTTGAGCTACGGGGCTGGGAGTTGGCACAGGGGGGTAATCGAGCATGGAGATTCCGAATACAATATTGGTTTTCAGGATTATCGATTACTTTTATCGATTTTATCGATTTTTCTGCAAAGTTTGAGCTACGGGGCTGGGAGTTCGCACAGGGGGTAATCGAGCATGGGGATTCCGAATACAAGATTGGTTTTCGGGATTATCTATTACTTTTATCGATTTTATCGATTTTTTGCAAAGTTGGAGCTAGGGGGCTGGGAGTTGGCACAGGGGGGTATTCGAGCATGCTGATCATCCCCAAGGGGGGTGATCAGCATGCTCGATTACACCCCTGTGCCAAATTCCAGCCCCCTAGCTCAAATTTTCAAAAAATCGATAAAATCGATAAAAGTAATGGACGATCTTGAAAACTAATATTGTATTCGTAATCTGCATGCTCGATTACCCCCTGTGCAAACTCCCAGTCCCGCAGGTCAAACTTTACAAAAAAATCGATAAAATCGATAAAAGTAATGGACGATCCTGAAAACTAATATTGTGTTCGTAATCATCATGCTTGATTACCCCCCTGTGCAAAATCTCAGCCTCGCATGTCAAAATTTACAAAAAATCGAGAAAATCAATAAAAGTAACCGATAATTCTGAAAACTAATATTGTATTCAGAATTCCCATGCTCACTTCCCCCCTGTGCCAACTCCTAGCCCTGTAGGTGAACTCTGCGAAAAAATCGATAAAAATCGGTAAAATCGACATCGATCGATAACGAAAAGTGGACTGTGACACCCGCCGGGGCCCGAAGTGTATGTGTGCCAAGTTTGGTCCGGATACGGCGGAGCCGGGTAAGCCAGCTAGTTATCTATATTTTTGAAAAAGCGTGAGGTTTTTTCAAAATATTGTCATTCAGGGGCCCTATTGCTTACTCTCTCAATGGATGCTGTGTAGTTTTATTTTTTCTGTGCTAAAAAGTGTGCTACTCATGATGAAGTTGGCGAGTTTATCTGTTGGACTCGTTTTCCTATCAGGGAGCATGGAAACATTTGCTTTGATGGTTTTTCTCTACATTGAGGTGCGTTATCGTCAAAACTAAAATGAGTATTTCTTCATCTACCACTCATCCGTAGAACAGGCATGAAATTAAGGAAAAAGCATCTTTGCATTCTATTATCAGTAAGTTGTCCATGTGTTTTGCTTCATTAGGAAGACGATCTGAAGAAGTGCTTTAGTAGTTCAAGATGTTGGTTCTGAACTTCCTTTTGCATTTGGTGTGCAATGCCTCAACTTTTCGGGAATGCTACTTACAGATGTGCGTCAGCCCACGTACTGGTACTCAACTGGACTACTTCATCTTTCCAATGATGGTGGTACGTCTCCTCAGTTCTGCTCTAGCTATATTGATGCCATCTATAGGCGCAGATCAAATTATCATTGTTGTTCTACTTTCAATTTCATTTCATTTCATTTTCATTCATACGCTCGAGGCGTTCCAAATCAAAAACAATAAAGTGTTAGTTATACATGGAACACAACAGCAACAAATAACAAATCACCACGTCGTCCTACGTCCAGTCTAAACGACTTCCTAAGAAAAGTAATGTAGTAATAATGTGATGATAAGCTTGCATGACTTGTATCTCGGCTGCACGTTATCTTGTGTTAGCATAGACTCTATGAAGAAGTACCCATGCCCCCTCGTTTGCCAGCAAGGAACGATCTTTATATAATTTATAAAAGCAAACCGGAAGTTCGGGTGGCGGGTATACTGGCAAACCCCGCCCTACACGGTATGCTGGGGAGGGTCCTGAGCTCCAAGTATAAACAGGAAAGTAGGTTGAGCAACGTAGTAAGAATCAGCAAGCCGTATGAATAGTAATAAGTTGACAGTCAGGCTGGGCCCATAACTACATGGTCTAGTCAAGTTAGTAGAAGAACAAATCTAGCAAAGCTGAGAAAAAAAAGTAGAACATGTTGAACACATGCACTGATTGAATCGGAAATGCGCACGGATGGCAAGAGAGAGCATAAAGCGATTGGAAGCGGGCTCCACTAAACGCACAACCACCAGCTGACGTAATGAGACAGACATAAATTAACCAGGCCATAAATGAAGGTTCCAAAACCACGCAAGAAAACCTGAAAAAGAAAAGAACACTTTTAGGAATAGATGCGAGAAAGGAAAAGTAATGAAAAAAAGTAATCAAAAGTAAGGACTTGCGAAATCCGACTGGTAAGCTGTTCTTATTGAACAAAAAACCTAAATTAGACGTAAAACGAATAAAAAAGTATCAACAGACGTACGGTCCACAATGCAAAATATTAGGGATATCAATCTTTAGCAAACTTCTTTTAAAAGCCCAGCTATTTTTGGCAGTGTAATTTGGGAGGTAGTCGATTGAGCCAGCGTGCACAGCGATAGAACAATGAGTTGAAAAGACCGGAATAGAAGCTCTTTTGTAACCTAGGATAATGTAAATTAAAGCCGCCACGCCTATAACTAGCAGGTCTAAAGATCCAAAACCTGCTAGCTCTCAAATCAACCTCTTTTCGCAATATACGAAAACAAAAAACTAAGTCAGCCACTATCCTTCTATTCATCAGCGATTTCAATCCAAACATTCTAAGGCGTTCCACATAAGATGGAATGTATTCTCTGGATATACTTCGCAGCTTGCGATAGAGGACCATTTTCGTGAACACTCGCTGAACCCTTTCAAGTTTTAGGGTCTCCTTTCTACATGAGGGGTTCCATACTTGAAAGCAATACTCCAAATGAGAGAGCACACAGGCTTTATACAGTCTGATAAGAGCGTTTTCATCACATGTATGAATGTTGCGAAAAATAGCGAAGAGTACGCTCTTTGCACGACATAATCAATGTGTTCAGTAAATTTCAACTGGGAATCAATCAAAACACCTAGGTCCCTGACCGATGAACACATTTTCAAAACAGAAATATTCACTTCATAATCGAAAGGTCTTATTCTCCCAAAATGCAGAAAGGAGCACTTGCTAGGATTCAGAGAAAGACCATTACGCGTCGCCCAAAAGCCCAACCTTTCAACGGATGACTGTAGTGCAGCATGCATAGCGTGATGATCCTCTTCATTATAAGAAACATACAGCTTAATATCATCCGCGTAAATCTGTACGCTCACTCCACCCAAAGTCAGAAGAGAAGGTAGCTCCATAGTAAAGATAAGAAAAAGAAGAGGAGAAAGTACCCCACCCTGGGGTACATCACTAGTACACTGATATCTCTTGGAATAAGACTGTCCAACCTTGACTGTGATAAATCTGTTTTCAAGATAAGATCGGAACCACTGTAGTAAATTTCCCTCTATTCCATAGCCTTGTAATTTGGATAGTAATACATGGTGGGGAATCTTATCAAAAGCTTTCGATAGATCCACATAGACAACATCAACAGATAACCCAGCATTAAGGGCTTTTCTCCAGTCAAAAACACTTGCAACAAGATTAGTTGTAGTTGACCTTCCAGGTAAAAAACTATGAAGCTCGGGAGGAACTGGGTGGATTTAAGCCAACGAAACAACTTCTTTCTGATGATTCTTTCCATGACTTTGATTGGAGTGGGCGTAAGACTTATGGGACGAAAATCAGATACTGTAGAGGCAGATGCAGTTTTTGGGATTGCAACAACGATAGCTTCCTTCCACAAACTAGGTACTTCACAAAAATCAATGGAGAGATTGAATAGCTCAGAGAGAGGCTCTGAAAGTAAGTCGGCACAAAAAGGCCGAAAATGTATCGTATTATAAGTTTGCTGAAGGGCGGAACGATTTACAACAGAGGCACAATGGAGATCTTCGGATACAGAGAAAACGCTAGCAAAATATCTGCCCAAAGCTTCTGCTTTCTCACCGTCGTTCACAAAGCTGTTCCCACTTTCGTCACTAAGAATGGGAAGATTAGTGCTGTTCTGGAGCTTACGCCGTAAATAACCAAAGAATTTTTTAGAACTTTTACTTGATAATCTACGCTCAAAAATTGATAGGAACTTTTTTAAATGAAAGGCTAGATCAGAACACACTTTATTCATGCACCACTTATTGTGTTATTTCCGCTTCTTGGTAATCGCTTCGGAA